CCTCCCGCCCCCGAGCCTCGGGCGGGTCTTCGGCGAGAGTCCCGGCCGCCGCGAGGCTGGTCTCCGCGCGCCGCCTGCTGGCCGAGCGTGGGAGGGCAGCCCGGGCAGCCCGGGCAGCCCGGGCTTGGGAGGACGCGCGTCTGTGCACAAAATCGGCCCACTCAGCTGCCCGCGGGAGGATCACCCTCATGGGAAGAACATGGAGGGTTGGGAGGATGTCAGAGCCGTGGGATGCCAGAGCCTCAGGTCATTTTGTCCAACCTGGTCCAGACCCACCTGGCCAAATACGCTCCATCTGAAGGTTCTGAGCAAATCCCACCCACTCCCAAGGCGTCCCTGAATAATAACGATGAGCCAACGTTGTGTCCTATCATGTACTTTACACACTTGTCTCATTTGCTACATTCAGCCGATATTTCTTGAGTGCCTACTGCCTGCCAGGCACTCTGCTTAGGTACAGCGGTGGGCGGCGAGAGACCAGGCTCCTGCCCCTGGGTTGCTCAGTCTGTTGAAGGAGCCAGAAGTTAATTCTGACAGCCACACACATGACTGTAGGACCACCCACTGTGAGAAGTGCCATGACTTCTCATATAAAAAGGAGCCTGGTCTGGTGGGAGAGGCGAGGCAGGAGAGGCTTCCCCAAGGAAATCACATTTGTGTAGCAGCCATGGAAGAACAACAAGAGGATGGGGTCCGGAGAGGGTGTGGGAGGAGTGCTGGGGAAGCAGGAGAAACCCATGTGCAAAGGCCCTGTGGCATAGCAGTGAGTCAGAGCTGAGGAACTGGGGAAGGCAGGCATGGCTGCAGGGCAGAGAGCAACGGGAAGAGAGATAGGAGAGATGACGTTGTGAGTTTGGAGGAGGGCAAGCCTCCAGGTCCTGGTGGGACTCAGGAGCTGTGAGTTAGGAGTTTTGGTTATGAGAGAAGAAAGATATTGAAGGGCTCTGGTCAGGGGAGTGACCCTGCACATTGGAAAGGTCCCTCTGGCTTCCTAGTGGAGAATGGACTGGAAAGGGGCACGAGTGGAAACAGGACTGGTTCGGAGACCCTGGCAGGACCCAGGGGAGATGGTGGAGGTGAAGGTCATGAGAAGGTCTTGAGGCCTGTAGAGGAGACATCCTCAGGATTGGCAGTGAGGGAGAGGGAGGTGTCAAGACTGGTTTGCAGAGCAGGGCTTATGCTGAAGGGTGAGGCCATTTGCTGAGGTGGGGGCACAGAAAGGCTCAGGTGGGGGTTCGTGAGGTCATTTTTGGACATGTTGGTTGGAGGTGCCCTTGAGATGCATGTGTGGAGAGAACGTGGAGAGGAGAGGTTGGTGGGAGGAATCGGGGGGTTCAGTGTGCAGGCCTGGAAGGGCCCATCCAGGGAGCAGCACGAGGAGAGGAGCAGGCTCAGGGAACTCAGGGGTGCCCCCATGGAAGATACAGAGAGAACCACTGTAGGGTCAAGGGAACGCCAGGAGAGGGTGGTGTCCCAAAGGCAACGGGACAGAGAGTTGCAAGGAGGAAGGATCCTCATGGTTGGATTCTGGAAAAGCCAACTGGGATGGGACAGAAAAAGGCCTACTGGCTTCAGCAACATGGGCCACTGGGTGGGCTTGGCTGACAGCAAAAGCCGACTGGAGTGGGTCGGGAGGAGGGGAAAGAAAGGAGACATAGGGAAGTAGCATGGGTGCTTCATATGAGGGGAAAGATGGAAAGACTTTCAAGATGGATGAGGCTAATTATGGCAAATATCAAGGGGAAGGATTTGGTTGAGAGAAGGCAATTGACATCAAGGAGAGAAGAGATCTCTGAGAAGGTCGGAGTGGTGGCAGAAAGGTTGGCAGGTGGAGGGTCTGGTGGGTGCTCCCTGGAAGGAATGAGATTAAGATCAGAGAGCAGGAAGCCTGCCTTGAATGTGAAGGAATTTAGGGTGATGACAAGCCCAAAAGAGTGACCATGGGTAAGGGTAGCTGAGAGGTCAAGGTCATCCTCCTGAATAATGGAGTCACGCAGGGTTAAGCAAGAAATGGGTGAGGAGATTGTGAGCCAAGACAGAAGGACGGTGAGAATGAGGTGGAGCACATCCCCAGGTGGAGAGCAGGCAGGACAGCCAAGTGGCTCCAGCCTCCAAGAAGGAAGGCTCTTAGAGGAGGCAAATGGTCCAGAAGTAGTTACGGGGAGCAAGGCTACCAACCTCTTCTTTGTGGGGGGTCAGGCAGCACCCCTTGGGAATCCTCAGGAAAGTCAAGTCCACAAGGGAGAGCCAGTTTAGAAGAGGAGGGCCCAGGTAGGGGAGGGGCGATGGGTGAGGCAGCGACCAAGAAGGATGGAGACCTCCCAGGTGTGTGTGGCCAAAGACAGATGGGGGCTGGACTCTGGGCACTGCCTGGCAAGACCAGGAATGAGGGGTATGATGGGCTCATTGCTCATGGGTAGTGTCTCTGAAGAGGATGGGCCCTGGGCCAAATGAACACTGGCCTAGGAGGAGCCACATAGCAACCTCATAGGGAAGGAACTCTGGTTCACATTTGACAAATAAGGAAATGGAGGCACAGAGTCATAGAGAGGTTAAGTAATTTACTCAAGGTCAGGGAGCATAACCACTTATTACTAAGTGATTATTATTATTAAGTGCAAATCTTGGAGCAGAGTTTTGAACTTTGTCGGTCTGACTCCTAAGTAGGTGCTCTTGTCCATCCTGCCTGTAACAGCCACGGTAGGACTCCCTCCCTCCCTCCAAAACAAAAAACAAAAAAAAGCAGCTCCTTTCCCCAGTCCCCCTTCCACTTAAGAAAGAGAGCAGCATCGTATCCCCCCCCCCACACACACACACTTTGGTGTTTCTGGTCTATGGAAGGCTGTTTTCCCTCAGTCACCCAAAAGGGGGTGGGGGCTGGTAGTAGGGCCAGACCCTGAGCACTGAGGACAAATCAGTGTCGGGTGGTCCAGTGGTGGGAGAGCATTGAGGAGAAAAGGAATGGGGGTGACCATGGTGGACCTCGGATGAGGTACCAGGCCCTGCCCGTCCCCTTGGTTTCTTAGACCCGACATAAGCCCCCAGGAGGAGTCAGGCTCTCTCATCAGGGCTGAGATTGAATTTCTTGCCCAGGGGGAAGGAAGGTGGGGGAGGGTAGAGCCAGATTTAAGGTGACTCAGTAAAACAAAGGAGCAGGAGGGCTCCAGGACCTGGCTTGTCTCCCCACTGAGTTCTGAGCTCCTGGAGGCGGTGGGCTTAGCAATTCTCGGATCCCTCCCAGGTGAGCCCGGCGCTTTGTTCACGGTAGGTCAATATTTGCAGATGAAACCTGGGGCCCAGCATGGGAGCTCAGGGCTCCACGTGGAGCCAGACGGTGGGAATCCCAGCCCCGGTCCGCGATAGCTTTGTGACTTTGAGCATGCCGCTTAACCTCTCTGAGCCTGTTTACTCACCTATGAGAGCAGGACCAAGGGTTATGCACTTGGTTTAACGCTCTGCTGCCCCCATTTTGAAATTCTTAATTTGGAAAAAGGGCCCCGCCTCTTCATTTTGCACTGGGCCCCACAAATTATGTAGCCAGTCATGAGTGGGAATAGTATGATCTACCTCAGAGGGTCGTTGTAAGGATTAAATTAAATAATCTGTCTAAAGTGCTTAGCAGAGAACGAGTGCGCAGCGAATGGGAACACCTGCCTATTGTTCCCTGCCATGAGATCATCCCCAGTGCTGATCTGCGGTAAATGAATGAAATGAGAGAATGAGTGGGAGCCTGGGGAGCATCTGGAAGCGAAGGTGCCAGGCTGGGGGGTTGTACGGAAAGTGGGAGCATTTTTGCGCCCCACACTGCGGGTCACTTGTTCCCACGGCAGCCGGAGATTCACGCTGTGGCCCTGACCCAGCCGCCACGCCTCGCAAAAAGTCCACTTGGTGGGAGCGGAGGCGGCGGGCTCCAGTCTTTACCACGCGGGCGTGGTCTCAGCCCCGGGAAGTCCTCAGTCTCAAACTCCAGGAACCGCGGAGGGGCTGCGGAGGCCGGGACAAGCGCCGAGGCGGGCCGCGGAGCGGAGTCTCAGCCGTTCCGGGCTTCCCGGGGCGGGTCCTGGG